AGTCTGGCTGCTAACCCCAAGGTCAGCAGTTCCAAACTGCCAGCTGTTTCACGGGAGAAAGATGAGGCTTTCTGCTCCTGTAAAGATTTAGTCTTGGAAACCCTATACGGGGTCGCTATGAGTCGGAACCGACTCCACGGCGTATAATCATCACCAGAGCCACCACCATTACAACAGTGGCTGCAACTGCAACAGAAAACTGGTACACTCAATTCAGTTAAATTTTACCTCCTCTTGCAACTTCTGAAAAAATTATCATCTGAAAGCAGATTAATTACAAAATACTACATAATCAATTTGAGATGTTCCTTTTCTGTGCTACCATACATCAAAGTACGTAAAGTGAAACCAGGTATGAGTGTGCACTAGGAAACAATACTGCACATACTAATATAAATACAGTAGTATTGCAATAAATCACCACCTTTGTCCTTTTTTCTATTCGCTCCCTCCAAATCAAAAGGGATTTCCCTTTAATGCATTAAAATCCAGTGCTTATCCTACAGCACCAATTCAAGAAGGGTTTTGTGCACCATACTGAGGACTTCTAACTTTATCCTGTGAGCACTGTTAAACCTCTGAAATATTTATAAAAAAGAGAAACTACAGATTGTACTTCTTTCTGAATTACAGATCTTGGTGACAGAGCTGAAGATACGAGTGGGGTGAGATAAAGGAAGAAATAGTAATTAGGGGATTATTTTAAGAGTACTTAAGAAAAGGAAGAGGTAACTTTGGAAGGCAATTTGGCAGTAAACCAAAATGCACATATGCAGCAATGTGAACCAAAGAAATGATCCCACATATGCACAATAATACTGGTCTAGCATATTCACTGTGCTGTTATTGTTGTGAAGTGCCTTCGAGTTGGTTCTGACTCATAGCGACCCTATATAGGGTTTCCAAAGAGCAGCTGGTAAGCTTGAACCGCCAACCTTGAAGTTCAAACAGACTTTGCAGTCCAGCGCATTAACCACAAACTCCCCATAACTATTAATAGAGAACTGACTAGAAGGAATACCAAACAGTAGTAAAATGGAATGAATTAATTTCAAAGATAGAATGAATGAAATTGGATTTACTCATTAATTCATTGCAACATCTGTAGGCAATTATCCCATTTGGAGGCACAGAGTTTAAGGATCTTCTCAAAAGATTATAGATAGGAAGTGACAGAGGCAAAATTGGTGTCAAAACCCCTAACAATTGTTTCTTGAGGAGATGGGTATTGTGGTAGGTGAGTGGAGGTGGATGGAAACTGTAGCTATGCTACCTGAAATGTTATGTTTAAAGAATACAAACAACTTTAAAACAGTATGTGCATTTTCCCCATAAAATGAATCATCTTTGTTGCCTGTCATGAAGTCAATTCTGACTCATAGCAACCCTATGTAGGACAGAGTAGAACTGCCCCATAGTTTCCTAGGCTGTAATCTTTATGGGAGCAGATCTCTAGGGCTTTTCTGTAGAAGGGCCACTGGTAGGTTCCAACAGGTGTTGTGGTTGCTAACCTTATAAAAAGTATACCTATAGGGCTGGGAAAGAGCTCTGGTGACACTGTAGGATAATCACTGTACTACTAACTACAAGGTCTGTAGTTCAAACCCCCCAGCCGCTCCTTGGGAGAAAGATGAGGCTGTCTGCTCCTGTAAAGATTTATAGTTTCAAGACTCAATGGGAATACACGCTCAATTGGTGACCACGTTTGTCATCAATAAGGGGAAGTGAAGGAAAAACAGCAATGAAGCTGCGAGCTAAACTCTACAACGTTCAATAGACTTCTGTGAACCCGGGTGGAGACCTGGTTGGCCAGCAGTGTGGGAAGACCTGAGGACTCTTGGGCCCAGAATCAGTGACATAGCCACAGAGGACTAGAGTGGAGAGTGAAGCATCCAGCTGATAAGAGAGGGCACATGCACAAGAACACCCACACTTGCAGATAATGCCCACTTGACCTGGCTTCAATGACTAGATGGTCAGAGCTCAACCAGAAAAAGAAAGAAGAAGAAAACAAGAGTAATCTGATAACAATTTGATGAACCTGACCTACGCCTTTGGAAGCAGTAGCTCAAAAGAGGGAACAAATCTTCATGAGGATGATGCCCACCCCCTCCACACATGGAGAGGGCAGGGATGGGCAACTTGGATATTGGTCACCCAAAGTGGGGGGTGGGGGGGCTACGAAGGCAAGAAGTGACTGGCTTACAAGCTTGCAAGAGGGAACCTAGATCCAGAGGGCATGGAGGAAGGTAGAATCTCCAGTGATGAAATGAAATGCGGATAGGTCTCTTGTGATACAATAGTGAATAATTGTTATCAGGACTGATTGTGAGGGTTGGAAATGTAAAGGTAGACGTTTTGTAGCAATGAGGGGAGTGATTAACTTTTCAGTCTAGGAGCAGAGGTCCCTAGGACCATCAACGGAGAAGAGCCGAGAGCAGGACCCTACCCAGAGAAGCAGTGATGCCAAAGATGGAGACTTTACACACAG